TTTGTGGTCACTACATCAGATTCTAAAAGAGGAGCTTTTTTCATTCCCAAATACTTGTCACGTACGTGAATCAATTAAATAATTTACATACTTTACAGAAAAAGTGAGTGAATTTTATTGATATGCAGCGTGATGTAGTGTTGTGTAAGGAAAGCATTAATCGGCATTCGTAGAACTTTGCAAAAATTTCGTTCCATCGAACGTCTACTATCCGTGCAGATAGCGGTGAATCGTTTATCGCTTTCTGTTATCATTAGGCAATGTTTCAGAAGATGCTGTTGTCGATTGGAGCATACGGTTGTTTGAATCAGCCAGTGAGGTTGTTGACAAGGCGTTTGCCTTTTGCTGTATCCGCTGTTGGCACCAATGGGGCGCTATGGAACAAGTAAGAATTTCAACAGATCAGTACAGCAGCATATAACACATAAATGTGCAGATGCACGACGTATATTCTGATCCAAATTCATGTTTTTGTTTTGTAGAAATCCAGTTCGTTGCAATGCAACGAAAGGACCAACCGTAGTGAAGAGTACACCCATCGAAGGAGCTTCACCTCGTGCAAAGGCCGATAAGGACTTTTTTGTGATCAATGAAGTCGTCAAACAACAACTCGGTCATATTCCTGTTGAGAAGGTGCTAACGAACTCACTCTTTGGATTGATACACAAATTATATGATTATTCGCGTTACTACCGCTAAAAATTGTACATTCTTCGAAAGAAAGAAATTGACGATTGTTCTTATGGGAAGTTGTGGTGTGTTGAGTGGGATGTTGTTTTATGAAATTTTCGAATTAATACATTCAAGATTTAGGGTGATCTTCACAGTCTACCAAAAAAAGTACAACGCTTCATCGCTGAAAAGGCTGAGTTAATGCGCCCCAAAGCGATTCATATTTGTGATGGATCAGAGGCTGAGGCACAAGAAATTATTGACAAAATGGTCGAACGTGGTATGCTATCGAAATTGAAGGCCTACAAGAATAGTTATCTTTGCCGTACGGATCCAAAGGTCAACTTTTACTTCACTCTCATAAAGAAGCGCAATGTTTATTTGAAATAAGCGCAGAAATTCTTTGAAGCGAGGATACCAGAGGGTCTTTGAATGACTGCTTTGAATTCAATGCAGTTATGCTATGTTTTAAGATAAAGAAGTTTTGATGATTCAGAATATTTTTGAACTTAACCAGAAGATTCTCAGTTCGAAATTTGTTCTAGTAGATTCATATGGACACAGTGAAGTCCACAATTTCATCTTCATAACGAGATCTGAAATGCTTGTTTAGGATGTAGCAAGAGTGGAAAGTAAGACGTGGATGGTAACACCCGAAAAGTATAAGACAGTGTGTCATACACCTGACGGAGTGGAACCAATGATGGGTCATTGGATGAGTCCAGATCAATTCACTAAAGAGCTAGATTCTCGTTATCCGGGCTGCATGGCCGGTGAGCGGAATCAACTTATCGTTTTGTCTTCACAATACTCAAATTCTATTCCAAATGAATCATGGATGGCACGAGAACTTGTTCATAAATTTGCTTTCATTGAGAATTTTCGATAGGGAGCGATTTTGAAAAGAATGCCCAAACAGCTTCGCTTATCTCGCTTGAGATCATTGAATCACATCGAGAAGCATTGAACTGTTCCACTGAAGTTGTCTTTTTTGAACAACGAAAGCACTGCCCAGCAGAGTAATGAAATGTTTTGCAGGACGTACCATGTATGTAATTCCATACTCAATGGGCCCTGTCGGTGGACCACTTTCTAAAATTGGCATTGAGGTATCTCGAAAGCCTCTTTGTTATACATATTCATGAAAACATCATTGAATCATAAAAATTATCAAGCTGTTATCAAGTTTATTGATTTGCATAAGTTAATATATTGATTACTCTATCTGATAAGACGGCAAAATCCTGACTCTTTTGAAAATATTCTGAAGGATGCGTAATAAATCGGGATTATCACTGCTTCATAAGAGAGGAGAATTGTTCACCGTAGCGCATCTTCAAAACTGAGCCATTTCAGTTGACAGACTCAATGTATGTTATGTTATGTATGCGTATCATGACACGTGTGTCACCGAAAGTCCTTGAAGTGCTCGGCGATGAAGACTTTGTTCGTGGAATACATTCGGTTGGCCTTCCTCGTCCGGTCAAAGGTAGGTTGCAAATTCAATAAATTGGATTTTCAGAATGCTTGAGAACTAGTAAATGATTCGAATTCAAACGCTAGTGTGATGAGATTAAATCACTTTTCGCTGATCATGGGACGTGTACTTGGTAGTTGATAGTGTTCAGAATGATATTTCTGCACGCATTTCCTCTGGAACCGTTGCTTTCGAAATGTTGCGAGATGACTTGACTGATAATTTGGGAGTATCGCTTTGTTCATTTGATCAATCACGAACTTCCATTTGAGTATGAAGTACTTTACGGTGAGTTGAATCGGCGTGTGATAATTTGAAACTTATTCAGAGCGTGTCATCAATCACTGGCCATGTAATCCAGACCGTGTGCTCATAGCGCATCGTCCAGCCGAACGTGAAATTTGGTCGTTCGGTTCGGGATATGGCGGTAACTCGTTGCTGGGTAAGAAGTGTTTTGCGCTGAGAATTGCGATGAATGTCGCTCGCGAAGAGGGTTGGATGGCTGAGCACATGCTCATCATGGGTTCGTTTCAATTCGATCACCAATTTATATTCCGGAGTTTTGAATAGAAAGCTATCAAGTGAAATAGATTACGATGTGATGATTAGTCAGTAATCTTTAACATTATTTGAATATGGATCTTGAAATAGATGTGATTCGAAAGAAATAGTTTTATGGTTGGTGAAGGGTTTACGAATATTCAACCAGTCGCAATTATACTTTCTATCAGTTTTTTTAGTTGAAATCAGGTGTTCTTTATCATTCTGATTATCAGAAGTTATTTGAAGGCGCCACCGGTCCGGATGGCAAGGAGCATTTCATCGCGGCTGCATTCCCATCAGCGTGCGGTAAGACCAATCTGGCGATGTTACAGCCAAGGTTACCTGGCTGGAGAGTGAGATGTGTTGGTTCGTTTCGTGACTATTATCCGTTATCGCTCGCTTCTTATCCTTGAGGGAGATTTTGTAAAGTTGCAAGCATTGGACGTTGTAGTTTTATGGAGTGATCAGCCAAAATGATTAAGGTGATGATATTGCTTGGATGCGATTCGGCGAAGACGGACGTTTGTACGCAATTAATCCTGAAGCTGGATTCTTTGGTGTTGCACCAGGAACGTCGCATAAGACAAATCCTATGGCAATGGCCAGTTTCCAGGAGAATAGCATCTTCACGAATGTCGCTGAGACTGCGGATGGTGAATACTTTTGGGAAGGACTGGAGGATGAAGTGAAAGTAATAAAATTTATTCATTTTGTTTCAACAAATTGAAACAAAACGGCACACCAATTTGACTCCCCTGTTTTCTAAAATAATTGAAATCAAATGAAATATTTCAAATTTGATATTCATTCAAAAATTGAATAAATATCAAATCATAATGAAGGTGGTAAACGAAAAAGTTAAATCAAACAATAGAACTGTGATTAATTCAAGAGAATTTTTTAAAAATCGTTCATACATTCTAACGGTTGCATGAGTTTTTTATTTGCATTTGGAGCAATGGAATAAATTTCAGCTTCGTCACCAACCATTCAAAAAAGATGAATATATTTTTGCGATTCGTAGCCGAATTAAATTTCGGTTGAATTTTAATCAAAATGATTGGCCAAACAAGGCGATATTTTGTTAACGACAGGGGTTCGCTGTCATGATATTTGTTTCCAGGATAAGAAAGTGGATATGATCAATTGGTTGGGTGAGAAATGGCATATCGGCGATAAAACTCTAGCCGCACATGCGAATTCTCGTTTCACTGCTCCGGCTGGTCAATGCCCAATCATTCATCCAGACTGGGAATCACCCAAAGGTGTTCCGATTGATGCGATCGTTTTTGGAGGACGAAGGTAGCCGATTGTTATTGGATCTGTTGTAGCACTTATTAATCTGCTCGAAGTGAAATAAATTATAACTGAAATTAATTATAACTTCTTGTTATAATTAATTAATTAATTATAACGCTGTCGATTTCCAAATCGCCAGTAAACGCTCATTTGATCCCAAGAGTGAGCTCTCAGAGCAGTCGGTTTGTTTTTGTTATCTAATGGAAACTTATTTTCATGGATTGACTTTTGCGTATGCGATTAGTGCTTTTTTGTACGGTGATAAAGATTTTGGAAGCTTATAGACCTGTGGGAGTTCCACTGGTGTTCGAGACGTTCTCGTGGAACCATGGTATCTTTACGGGCGCATGCCTCAAATCTGAAGCGACTGCAGCCGCCGAGTACAAGGGCAGAACGGTGATGCACGACCCGATGGCAATGCGTCCTTTCATGGGTTATAATTTCGGTGAATATCTTCAACACTGGATTAATATGAATCAGAAAGGACGTAAGGTGAGTTGCAGTTTTCAGTCGAATGGGCCACTGATCATATTACTCCGCGTTCTGTTTATTTATTCAAGAAGCTTAATCGAGAGGGTATTTCTCAAGAATGAATTTGCAAGAGAAATTTAATTGCGTTATTATTTGATGTTGAGTTGTTATTCTTTGTGCAATTTCAGATGCCAAAAATATTCCACGTAAACTGGTTCCGTAGAGACAAGGATGGTGGCTTCTTGTGGCCAGGATTCGGTGACAATATACGTGTGGTGGACTGGATTATACGCCGTTTAGGTGGTGACGCGAGCATTGCACAAGAAACTCCGATCGGATTTGTTCCGAAAAAAGGATCACTCAACTTGGAAGGTCTCAAAGATATCAAATACGATGAACTGATGAGTGTACCAAAAGATTATTGGCAGGAGGATGTCCAGGATGTCAAAAACTTCTTCGATCAGCAGGTTCCTTTTGCTGCTTTATAAACTCATCTCATATTTATTGACTCATCTAATTAATGTATGTTCGCACGTAACCTCTTCAACGTCATTCCAAGTATCATTTTTTACCGTATTTGACCGCTCTTCTCATCCATCTTTCCGTTGCGGTTTTGCGTATTTGGTCTCGCCATCTCATTTTCGGCCTACCCAG